AGATGACACAGCGAACATTATTTTGAGCATCGGCGCGATCCTATACATGCCAAGATGCGGCAAATACTTGATGCTAACTCACTTTCCCACATCTAGCGATTTCCTGGCTTACTGCATGTTCGCGTTCTCCTGCTTTCGTGTTCCTGAGGGCCTCCCTACATCCGTGCACGTCATGAGGTACTAAATTTGTATTTACGGGATGAGATCGAAGCTAACTAGCGCCATCCAGATGGATCGGCGGTTTTGCTCTCATTGCTTTCAATCTGTGGGTAAAGACCGAGGCGCACAACGTTGTCAAAGATTATGGCTGGTATTGGGGTGACGTCTTCTTCCAACGCGGCGCACTTGTCTTTGATGGTGTCTTTGAACTTGCGCCACACCCTATGTACTCCGTCGGTGAGCACGGACTCCGCGATGAATCTGCGCTCCATTGACGACTCTAAACAGGTTATGCTGGTTACTATGGCTTGTCCATGATCATCGGCAGCTACCCTGTTCTATTCGTGAGCTTAGCAGCCCATGCCGCTCAGTTCGGTTTCCTGGTCTTTTTCGAAAACCCACGTCAGTTTGCACGGCACCCTCAATGTGCCACCCTACTTACATTGCTCCCCCAGACATCGAGAGAACGTACGGGCAACGGAAACTTCTTGCTCGGCGTTCACCGCTTTTGCGAGCCGTCTCGATGGACGAAGAGACTTCCTCCAAGCCTCTCTCGAGGAAAAACTCACAGACTTCTGTCGCGTCTACGAGTGCGTCAACGCCGGCTGCAACTGAGGGCGAGAGCGCCACCGAAACCGACGAGCTGATGACGGAGACCGAGACTGAGACCGAGACCGAATATGAGAGCCGCTCGTCTAGTCGCAAGGCAAAGTGGCGGTCAGGTCTGGGCCTTGCGGGTGTCGCAGGGGTCGATCAGTCTGCGGGCTCATCCCGCCGCTCCCGTGTCCCCGTGTCCTCGCAGCACGACCTCATGAACTCCTATTTCCGCAAGGATGCCATCCTCTTGAAGAACGTCGACCTTTTGCGGTAAGGCCGCCCACCGCCCTCCATATTCGGGGCACCTCCGCTGACCGATATCTCGCAGCGCGTCGGACCTGAAGCTGGCACTGATTGTGGCGTACTCACTGGTTGTCGCGTTCGCGCCGCCTCTCTCCACGTCGGGCGTGCTTGCACTACACTTTGCGCACGCCCTGACGTGGTGCCTATTCCATTCGTTCGGCCTCGGTCTCCTGTTGCGTGCCCAGTCGGAGCGCAAGTACCTCGTGCGGCATTATCTGAAGCATTACCATTACCCAAGGAACGACCATGGGACCGGCGCAGTGTACGAGGCGTTCGCAAACTGGAAATCAATCTACAATCTGAGTATGTGCATGACATACGGTGGGTAAATTATCCTCGGGTCTTCGCTGCAGATCGATTGACGAACCACGCTACGCAGTGTCGTTCATAGGCTTGGCTTGGAAGACGTACTCGATACCCCAGGACTGGACGGTGGGCAACGTGCTGCTGCGGCACACGCTAGGAGTCGTAAGTCGCGAGCTACTCTCGATCCCCGGGCACGTTGACGAGACCGCCCCAGATCCTCATCGGCATCCACATATGGGCGACAATGGAGTCATACGACGTTCTAGGCCTATTCGGTCAGTGCACACAGCCCGCGATAGGCTGGGCCCCGCTGATTGATTAGGCTAGGCTGGTTCTTCGGCGACTTCTTTATGGAAGATTTCCCGTCGCAGCTCGATTACACGGGCATCTACCGGTCGGTCATTCCCGATGATAGGCTCGCACTACCCCGCTAATTCCCGCCGCCCAGATACCTGAATAACCCGGAGATCATGAGCGGTGCGGCGTTCTTCGGGCTCGCGCTCATTAGCGGGAGCAAGCTCGTATTCGCGCTCGCAGTCATTCGGCACCTTTCGCAGCTATGGTTCCTGAGCAAAGTCGAGCAGTACGTGGAGCGCTATGCTGAGGTTCTTCGCGTGCGTGTTCGTGGCGGCTCATGTATCATTCCCTGCCCCACAGCCCGCACATGCGGAAATTGTACGGCGATTCGTTGCGCAACGATGCGGGCTTTGTCAAGGTTATCAAGAAGGTAGCAAAGAAGAACGCACGGCTTCTCGAATCGCGCGCGGGGCGCCACGCCCCTGAGATCAAACGTGTCGCGAAGGAAGTCAAAGGCACATTCGAGAAGGTCTACGAGGAGACTGCGGAAGCTGTGGAGGAGTTCCTGGCCAAATGTCAGTTGACCGCGGATACACCCATATCTCTGGTGTTTTGCTCACGATGCAATCGCAGCGCGCCCGAGAATATCGGGGGTTATGGAGGACACCAAAATTCTGCTCCAGCAGTCCAGGGAAAAATTGGTGATATCGTGAGGATCGCTCCATGTACCTAGGTCTCTTCTGACTGCCTGCTCGATCCACCTAGACGCGTTGCAAATGACCTGTCGTCCTATGACACAGCCAAATACAAGATTACTCTCGTACCAAGCGCCGAGGGCTCCTTCCGCTTCCGTCTTGGGGAACCTATTAAGGTCAAGTGGCGAGCCCCTATGCACCATTCCCGCAGGGATTGGGTTGGCATATACAGGGTGCGCCCTGCAATAAATTTCCGACACCGGACATTATGCTCATTGACAATACAGGTTGGCGCCAACCAGTCGAATCTGGTGACACGGACGTCCTCGCTCGGTATGTGGGTGCCAGTGCATGACGAGGAGTGGGACGGCGATATCCCGCTCAGTCAAAGTCGACCCGAGCGGCCGGGAAACGACTCGGAAGATGGCGAGGTTGTCTTCCGCAGCGGGACGCTACCCTGGCAGACCGGGCGCTACGAGGTGCGCATCCATCCGCCCGCGAACGGCATCTGCGCATGCTGACATACGTTTATCAGATACGCTACCACCATGACGGCAAGTACAACGTAATGAGCTTGGACGGGCCCTTCGAGGTATACGGTAAGCATACACCGCACCTGCCATCTGTCACGCGGTGCCCGCGCTGACACTTTCGTTCACGCTAGTCGACAAACCGGCGTCGCTGGATTTCACGGGTATTCGCACGTGCCTCATGCACATCGTCCCGCTCTGCCTCGATTCGGATCCGTCGCTGATCCCGCTGTCGTGCAAGGGGGGCGACGGGGGCGCCCCGGAGGCAGACGACGACCGCGACCCGGACGATTTCCGGTTCTGGTCGGAAAGGCAGGCGAAGCGCATCTCGAAGGCCGTCAATCAGGCGTTTGGCGTAGAGCTTACGCCCGAGGTCATCGTCGCTGACGCCAATTTGAGCGCCCTTGCGAACAGGATATTGGTTTCCAAGGAACTGCTACCGGAATAGAACGGGTCATACATGTCGTACTTGATGGGTCTGGGATGTTTGTGCAACATACCATCTGCTGCGGGCTAGCATAATACATAGTGTATTTCCGTGTGCAAAATATACCTGATGTTATTGTCTTCATGCATTGTATCAATGCTCAATGATTTGACGACCTGCATTGTCTGCATCGCTCAGTGCACCTGCGACCATCAGAATCCCCGAAGTTTCCGAGAGAAGGGGAGAAGGAGCCGTATTGGGCGCTCCCACGAAGCCTCGTAGTGTATGGCGTAAAGTTGACACAGACGCAACACAACGTGATACTTAACGCATGCCTCTATTGCATCCGGTGCCCAAGCTGTCTGTAGCGTGGCAGGCCAATTCCTACATATGCCCTTCTGAGCCAGAAAAATGATTGCATCCATCAGGGCAGCGATGCTGCTAGCCAGATTCAAGCGTGAACTACGATTGGAGAAGGCGTGCGCCGTTCGCGACCCTCGCGACGTCACGGAAAGTGAGGCTGTAGCGTGTCCCTCGCGAGAGTGTGCCCCCTCTGGTCACAGCGTCCCGCTCGGCGGCGCCAGTTAGCATGTGTGCATTGGCGATCGGAGGCGTGGTCCCGTGTTGGCTCGAGATGGGCGCAAAGAAGGTGTCCTCTGTGACGCCGTCGATACCATGCAGGTGTGCTTCGTACAAGGATGAGCGCGTGATGATCAAGCTGCGCGGTTCAAGAAGGACAGTGAGAACGGGTTGCGGGTCGATGGTCCGGCCGCTCTCAGCGTCGTCGGTGTTCTCGGTGTCGGCCGACAGCTGGTACTGATAGTAGTGGAAGAGTGCGTGGGAGCCTAGAGAGAGGGTAGCCACAGTTGGATAGTACGCGGGGCCGTCTTCGTGGGGCTGAAGAATATCAAATTATGCAGCGGTGAAATTCGCGGGACCCTACGCACCATGATGCCTTGCCCTGGGAGGTACTGTACTTTGTGAACCTGCTGATTTTCTATGTTGAGACAAATCGAACAATTACCTCATTCAATATGACATGGTTAGGACCGCTATGAGGCGAGGCACTGAATGCGCCGGTTTCTCGTATTCGAGCGATCAAGTTTGGACTGCGGAACATTGACTGATGTAGATCAAGACATAAGATGCAGGGCATCCGTAGCTTACTACTTTCCAATGAAATCAGGCATTGGCTGTGGTATGAGAAGCCGCTTCGTTGTCATGTCTCCGCCTGATACGCTCAGCAGTAAGCAGATTGATGCTTGGATGAGTCAATATTTACTTACCCCATATCTGCAGCCTACAAGGACCCAGCGTGTGTATTATAACGCAGCTGCATTGCGCTCAAGCCAGTCGCATGAAGACTCACCGTCGTTTCGAAAGTTGCTTCCACTTAGGGAGAGGAGATTCTGTGATCTAATCCGCATCTATCACTGCCAGTGCCGCTTGGTGGGGGAATTGCTGACTAACTTTGCGGAGTAATATCTCTTCTTCTTCCTTTGTAACAAAATCGGGTAGGTAAAACACTTCATCTGCGTCTGTGACTTGGAACGACTTAAGGTCACCCGCAATCATGCTTGTTTTAGCAGCAGAGGGGCGGTGTGTTCACTCGGACAGGTGTTGGGCTGGGTTCAGTAACGGCCAGAGGCACTAAGCTCTAGCATACTGGACTGCATAGTCAAGCAAGCTCTCGTCGTCTAATGGCTATGATATCAGATTCCTAATCTGAAGGTTCCGGGTTCGAGTCCCGGCGGGAGTAGTTGGATGCCATTATTTTCCGCCAGCTTACGGCGCTCTCGTTCGGTGTAGGGCGGGCCGTTTCCTACCACCCGTAGAGTTGCTTTCGCCGTTTAACTCTTTCCGTCCCTACCTTCTCGGTCACTCCTTTTTCTTAGTCCACCTCACCTTTATTTGGCATCATACCCATCCTCGTCATGTCTGCAAAAACCCTCAGTAATGGCACTCTCAGTCTACGATTCATGCAGAATGCGCAAAGGACGAAGCAACAAGCGCAAGTAGAGGCCGAACAAAAGCAGATCAAGGATGAAGCCGAATGGGAGGTCTCGAAGGAGGTGAAGGAGGCGTGGGGCATATCGGAGTCGCGTACAGAGTGAGTCGTGATGATGGTGAGATCCAATTCCCTTCCAAACCTATGCAGGCACGACGTCGCACACGAAGCATCGTATCTCCCCTTCCTATTCCCCTCCGCGAGCGATAGTGCGGAAGCATCTTCCAGCGCGTCCCTCTATCAGAAACCTGTCGCCAAGGGCCGTCGTACCTTTAATCACCGCGGTCAAGAAGTCCTCCAGAACGAGGTGCGTGCTGTACTTCCCTCTTGCCGGGAGTATCGTAAATCTCCTGTAGACGCCTGCAAGTAATGAGAACAGCAAGGCAACTGAGGACGAGAACGCTGAGAAGCCGCGATCAAAGCGGCTAGTAGCGATTTCTGGCTTTAGGGCGCCCGCACAAGATTCCAAAAAACCTAAATCCAAAACAGCACAAATGTTGATTCGTGAAGATAACCCTGTGAGACCGCCATCCTCTCCAAGTTTTGGCCCCGGACCAGCGAGCGGCTTCATTAAGCCAGCTGGGTTCGACGACCGTCGTCCATCATCCAGCACAACAAATACAGCGCTGAAGAGGGGTAGAGAGGACCTACGGACAGATCCTCCAACATCGGAGGCGAAGAAGCGGAAGAAGAAAGATAGAGCAACCTCATGATCTTGTATTCCATCATCGTATGTCCGTACATAGGTGATCCCTGCATAGGCGTTCAATCTAGACCGCAATTTCACAACTTGCGGCATCATCGGCACCGTCAGGTATGAGATCCAGTGATACATCCGTTCTCCCGGCTCTCATGATCTTCCCAGGTTGTGCTTCTAGTTTACTGCTATCTTTCCCTGCCCACATGCTCTTCCTGCAGGGCTGTGCCCCCCACAGTTATCTGTGATCCCGTAAAATCGGGTTGTGAACCGAGTTGCTGGAGGCGAGGTCTGTATGTGAACATGCTAGAAGGATTCGCGCAGCCATGCCATTTCACCTAGTAAGATAACTCCGCATTCAAGGTGACAGGGACAGATCTCAAGCGTTCTACCTGCCATCTCTCTGACAGACGGGGTCAAGCAAGTCAGTGAACGACGTGTCCTCGTTCATCGGCTCAAGCATGCAAGAGCTGACATGGTTGCCCCAACATCTACAATCACGGGCCGCAGCACGCCGCGGATCAGGAGCAGGGCACTATGTCAAGCATGGACAGCGGAGATCCTTTCCCCCATACCCTCTCATCTCTAGGCGACATGCAGCGGGGTTCGTCCGATCGTGCGGGTCGCTGACTCTGGTCAGGCCCGTGCTCGCGAGGCGCCTCTCAAGAGGCTTGGCCATATGCGCGCTGGTGCGGCTGGTGCGCGTGTCGAAGCGTGTAATGCCGTAACGGAGACGCGGACGTCTACTTCTCGCTGAATGTAATGTGCAGAAGACGGGATGCCCATGTCGTCGGACACGGAACGGCTGGCAGACGCTGGAGCCGGTTCTTGCCTTGCTTGTTCCTGGCAGCTCGTCTTATGGCGCTAGCGCCTGTGCGGCGCGGATGTGCGCGCTCCAGGAGGACATGCGCATCTAACGCCCCCAACTGCCGTACATGTCTTCGCTACTGTTCCGCGGTAGTTCTGCAGACATCTGTGAAGCCGCCAAGAGATTAGTCGTCTGAGGCAGTCACGCTGTATCATTCCTTCATATATGCAGGACAGCCGGAACGCAGGGTGAGGCTTCTTGAGACGGTTCGTGGCACATCTCATTCTGGTGCGCGTCATATGTGCGGTCACGGGAGATCACTGTGATATTCAGCAGACGGCTCGACTACTGCGGGTGTCTCGATATCCGCTCTGTGCGCGACCGCTGACATGTTTACAGCTGCGTCCCGACTGGGACCGGACCTACGTGCGAAGAAGACTATTATAGCTATGGGAAGATATGCAGTTCCGTCTCTGGTATACCATCCGGGGCTTATGGGTTTTCATATATGTGTGCCGCAGGTTCTTCGTCCCGAGACCCATTCATAAGACCAGATCCGTCATTCGGAAGCCAGGTTCAGAACCAAACGGAGATGCCGTAAGACAAGCGCAAGAGGTATACTTCGGGGGAAGAAGAAGCTTGTCGCCTGGGCGCGCATCCTTCTATCCTTGTGTTGCTGCGTCGTCACGCTGTATCCGCGGTTAGTGGAGCTGGAAACGCCAGGAAAGAACTGTATTGCGAACCGCCGAAGCAGCGGGATAACCCTGTAGAGACGCCAGAACGCGAGTCACAGAGCACTCATGGTGAGAGATGTGCCAGAATATTCTTGTCGTGGACCCGCAGTAATTCTTTGGACAGCACTTAGCTTGACGGGGGGCCACACACGCCGTCTTCTCTACTGCTCATCCTAGGGAAACTACGTCATCGAATGCGGGAAGAAATCAACCTACCAGAAGCCCTCCAATATGTCATAGGGCATAGCGCTCTAATACCGTTCGAAGTGTTGTCAAATCTAGTCCACGGAAATGAAGACACATGTCCACCGTCGTGAGTTCCTATGCCTCGTGCCCGTAAAGTTCTGTTGATAGAGCGCCTCGAATGCTGCAAGCATTACCCCCACTCAACAGGGCACAGACAGATGTCGGAGTACGCGCTGCTATTTCTATTATCGGTTCCTCCGTATTGCTGCCAGTATTTGTCAGGTACATTAAATGTATCAGACGCCACCAGTCCCTGGCTTTACAAAGAGGCAGAAGATTTCGACAAGATGTCATATCGACATGTCCACTGTCCAAGACTGCTGTTTCTTGACGTTCGGCGATGACGGTAGTCGGTAATGAATCAGCGACGACAAGAGTGTGCGTGCGCGTCGAATGGTATATGATTGATGTGCATCCGCTGCACAAAATCATGACAGAACCGCCGGCTGACGCCTCGGTCAGCTCCGAGGCTGCGGTCAACTGTCACGGCCGACAGGTGTACCCCTTCAGGGCTACTGAACGGTATCAAAACCCTCACGATCCTGTGGAGTTCTGACAGACAATGTCAGAAAGCATGCCGAGCAGATACGGGGAAACCCGTCCCAACTTATCATCCAGGCTCGGGCCTGGGGCCTTGGATGCCAGGCTGCTTCGGTCGCGGTCGACGAGGGGCGGGGCCGTGGCCGTGTGTGTCGATCCCTCGGCACCGATATGCACGTAGAGCGCATCACGGTGTGGTCGCAGAGGACGCAATCGAGGAGCCGGCCTGTGAACGTGGGTTGCTGGGAACTGCAATGTCGTTGACTTGCCGGAGGCGTTTCCCGGGGTTGCCGGGGAGTCCCATCTCGTCCTCGCGCGCGATTCTCATAATCACAGCAGAGAAGCCCACCAGTTCGGGCATGCGCGGCCCACGGATCCGCATAGTATGGAAGACGGGCTGGCGCGAGTCGGTGCGCGCGACAGGCACGGATAAGGAACCTTCGAGGGCGATTCGACGCCAGCTTCGTCCTGGCATCACGCGAAGCGCTCGCATAACGCGGCAGCTCCGGTTCGTGATTGGGGCCCACGAGGTCGAGGAGGGTGGGGCTTGGATCTCGACTACAACGATGTGAAGTCCAGCGGCGGGGCGCGTTCGATGGGCGGTCCGGACCTTTTGCCCGGCAATATGGCTAGATTGTCCGGCAACACGGTCAGAGGGGAAAGCCTACCGGAGGGCGCATCGGAAGGACGTGAGCTCCCTCGATGACCTCGGGATCCCCCGAGTATCAGCCTAAAAGGAGCATCATGTTTGACCGGAGAGGCTGAACAATGCATACCATTCGAGACGATGTCCGTTCTGCGCTGTGACAGACCGTCCCGATCCGCGTGTGGGCCCTGCTCGGCTGTGCCGCGTCAACGTGCATCGATGACAAGGCGGGCTCGAGACGTAACGCGAGCGACGCAAATCTTGTCGAACAACCAAGCTGAGTCGAAATGAACGACGTTCTTACAATTAGCTGCCAGTAACCGCCGAGGAAGCTGCGCGTGTGATTCTCGTTGTACCGAAAGCGAGATGTGGTGCTCCCAGGTCGGAAAACGTCCGCCCAAAGCCCGCGTCGAGTAGCCGGATGCATTGCGACCTGCCAGAGATGTCCATGCAGTTCTGCGGAAGGCGGCGCGGCAGATGTAATCAAGACTAGAAGGACAAGGCGTTTGCATGGTGACAGCATCGGTGTGCATCGCAGGCGGCTCCGGGTTCCATGGAGCATGGACGAAAGCGGATATTGGTTGTAGACGACGGGCGTGCAGGCTGCGAACGTTGTTATGATGAGATGCCAACAGAGTTCAGGACAGAGTTCCGCTGGACAAGGATGGTTAGGCTGCCGACACTATGGACAAACCGACGATTCTGGTATGGCCGATGCTGGCAACGCGTTCGGAACGCCGGACTTGCCTGGGAGCCCGTTAGCAGCTGGCGGCGTCGTCTCGATGCCGGGATTGGCAGAATCGGACACCGCGTCTTCCAGTTCGAGCAGAAACTGTCAAAAGTATAAATGATGCATCCACGGGCGAGCGGCGTGCGTTGCAAGGCGTCTAGAGGATGCCACAATGGCAGGCGACGCCGGCGAAGAACAGTCGTGTACGTCCGCTCTCAGCTGGGCCAGTTCTCGCTTAGAACTCCGTCACGTAACGTTATCTGGCAGCGGTCCGAATTCGACAAGATGAGCCTGATGCACCTCCTCTCTGGGCGAGCACCGCCATACACCTCAGACAGCTCGGGCCTGCG